AAACACGTGTGTAGCCATTGCAAAACATAAGCAATATCTAGATAAAACACTTGAAACATACTACCTCTCCCTAAAAGAACACAACTATGTATGCGTGTCGGGTTTAAGTGTTTCACGTTTGATCAAGTTTTTAGTAAATAGTATTCACATTTATGGCTCCAAATCAATTTATTATGAAAATACATTTCGTAATCAATCCAATGGTATTTATTTGATATTATAATATTTATACTTTTTTCTCTATATTTAGTCAAACTTGGTATACTAAAACATGATACTGTTCCAGAATTGCATTCTTTCGGGGACAGAGGGAGTAAGCAACGTTCATATAAAACATTGCAACATAAGTGTGTAACATATACAACACCTAGATAAAACATGTGCAACATCCGTCTGAAATAGCTGAAACATTTGGAACAGACGCTTGCAACATACGTGTATAGCCATTGCAATATATGCAATATCTCGATTTAATTTTGCAACATCCACATGAAATAATTACAACATGCATATAAAACACCGAAAACACTTGAAACATAAGCTTGCAACATGCGCTTGCAACATGCGCTTGCAACATCCGAGGAAGGAAGGGAGCGCGAGGTGCAGTCGAAGAAGCTTGCTCCGGGTCTGGCCACTCCGGATCTCGTGATGTCGCGAGCTGAGGTCGAGCGTCGCAGTGGCACCGGCGTCAACAGCAGCCGTGGCCTCCTGGTGGGAACGGCGGCATCGGCAGCACGTCGACATGGCAAGGGACAGGGCACGGTGTGCAAGGGCAGGGATCGGGCACAGCGCAACGAGGTAGCATGGACGCGACAGGGGATGGAGCACGCGGGGCAGCGGACGCGGCGTAGCTCGATGCGGATGGGGGCGCTGCCGCGAGGCGACTTGGGGCGGGCAAACGACCGGTGAGCCACGGCGATTGAAGCGAGGAGTTGGGGATATCTGTTGGCTGTCGTAGTGTAGATGGAGTAGATAGAGGAGAGAGTATAGATGGGCCTGTTGGGTCGCTCTCAATGCTGGAGCGAGCACGGAGCAGAATGTTCAATTTTTTTTAAGATTCTAGACGTATGTTTTGTAGCATTACCGCCAAAAACACTCACAAGGATACTGCGCTCCCGCCGCACCTCCCGCATGCCTTCCTCTCCACCGCACATTCCACCGGCCTTCCTCCTCTCCGCCGTTCATACCAAGACCGCCGTAGTGTGCTCCTCCAAACCGCACGTGGTCGCACCCACTGACCGCTGTTGTCGGCTCAACAATGGGCACCGCATTGGCATCAAGTGCCCCTTATCGCCGAGGGCAGCACCGCTGCTCACTGGGGGCCACGCAGCCGCCCGCTCGCTGTCATCCTCCTTCTCCACCGTGGCTGCACTACCGGATCCCGCTATGCACAGTGCTCTGCCCACCTCGGTTGCCAAGTTTTGCTGAAAGCACATGTTGCAAGTGTATGTTTCAAGTGTTTCAGAGGTATGTTGCACGTGTTTCAGATGGATGTTGCAAAAGTAGATCGGGATGTTGCATATGTTGCAATGGTTGTACACGTATGTTGCAAAGGTCTATTATCAATGTTTCATCTGTGTTTTCAGACGTATACAAATGTGTTTATCTGGATGTTGCATATGTTTCACACATATGTTGCATGTGTTTATCTGGGTGTTGCGTATGTTTTTAAAGGTTTTCAAGTGTTTTCAGGTGTTTTTTCAAGTGTTTCAAAAGCATGTTGCAAGTTTATGTTTCAAATGTTTATGTTGTTTCAGACATATGTTGCAAGTGTTTTTATCTGAATGTTGCATATGTTGCTGTGCCTACACACATATGTTGCAAGCATATGTTCGAAATGTTTTATCTGTTTTAGACGTATGTTGCAGCAAGTCCTCCATGTTGCAAGTGTTTCATGAGGCGCAGGCGGTCCCTATGGGCGGGCGAGCGCCGGGAGGCGCAGCAGGGTGAGTAGACGCAGGCATGTAGCATGGTATGCGTGAGCAGGAGGGCGCAAACGACCAGTAGGGCACGGGAAAGCGACGGCAGGGCGAGCATGGCACAGCGAGCAACAGGGCGGGCATGCATGCTCCGATGCGCGTCCATGTGTGGGGGCAACCAGAGGGAAGCGCGTGGGAGACTGCCACCCGACGTGGGACCCACCATAGAGGCAGGGGCGTTGTAATGTTGTTGTTTTCTACAGATCAATTTTGGCCACTAGCAGGCCCAGCTGACAGTCTAGGGAGGTGAGATCCACTGGCTGTTCGGCCGCACGTCCGCTAGTATGCAGGGCGAGTGCGCGGCACGTGGGCCGCACGGGCAAGGACGCACTGGGCTGAGCGGCGGCCGCGACACGAGCATCCAGACGCACGCTTCTGACCGGACGTCCAGGCACTAATAAGCCACGCGTGCTAATCGAATTTAGTCTGCCCTGCCCCTGTGTATTCAGATGAATACATAATCAGCTATGAGCGCCCGATTCTGCCATACAATAAGGGATATAACATGGAAAACATATATAGAGGGAAAAAATTGTATCCTGATCGGATTTGAATATATATGAACTTTAAACCGATTGGAATTTGTGGGATCTTCCGAGTGCATCCTCCCAGAAAGAAAATTTATTAACCCAGCAAGCAACGGCCTGCAGATCAAGAACTCCGCCCACCAAACTACTTCCCCCATTCTAAATTACAAGTCATTTTGACTTTTTTTTGATAAATTTAGATATAATAATATGTCTAGATACATGGTAAAGTGAATGAACCAAAAAAGTCAAAGCGTCTTAGCATTTGGGACGGAGGGAGTAGTTCGGAAAAAAAGTGATGGAAGATTAGAGAGGAAAACCTGTCTGAGGTCGGCGTCCAAACCCGCCGAAAGGTTCACGGTGGTGCAAGCGAAATGAGAACTGAAGTAGAGCAGCGCTACAACGACAACAAAATAGGGTTGACATCGTGAAGTTTTACTGTCGCTCAGCGAAGGGCAGATGCCTGATTTACTGCTCCTTGCTCGCCACAGCTGACGGCGGTCGCAGACTCACAAGTCACCGCCACCGTTGAAGGGGAGAACGACTAAAGAGTGGGGAACGTGTGCGTGACCCGAGGATTCCGTTGGGCCTCCGCGAGCTACGAATTTGGCCCACTGACGTCTTTAATTTATAACCTGACGTCAAATCTGTTTTATTCGCTGATCGTGTCTTAATCTTAGTCATCCAATACCAATAGTGTGTTTTCAATATTCTATTTTGCTATAAATAGATCTGTCGGCTAGCAATCTTTAATTTATCACTCTGCTGCCAACGCTGCATCGCTTCGACCTAATTGGTGGTGACGCTATATTAGATTTTGTTAGTCTTTTGGATTTCTTTATAAGGAAAACAGAGGATTGTTTACACTTATGACTCATCGGATCTGTAGCCGATGACTTGTGCTTTCATATTTATTCTCATGATATATCCATTGGATGTTTTAAGTTGATAGTTTTATTTATTTAAATATGGATATATTCGGCTGTCATCGGCTCTCTAGCCGATGGTGTTCATTTAAACTGTTTTATTCAAAAAAGTGCTAAGTATCGGCTTCATAGCTGATAACTTGCTCTATCGGTTCTTTAGCTGATCATGTAACTGTCTGGATCAACAGCCGATATATTCCACCTTAAACTACTAACTATTTTCTCTTGTTAATTACAGATCAAATTGATTGCCATGTCCGCTATCTTAAAATCGACAAGACCTGCATTGGAGTTAAGCAGATCTCCCAGGCTTGTCATGTGTCCTGCCATTGACCAAAATTCTGCGGCGACATTGCACTTCCTCTAAGTTTAGGCCCAGTGTTTAGTGAGGTTTTGCACACCTCTTGCCGCTCCGTGCGTGTGTGCAACATTGTTGTACTTGGAGATAGGGCGGAGCCAAGATTTAGAAAAAGGGGGTGTTCAATACATACACAACAAGAGTATACATAACAACTAAATAAACATTTATGTAGGGATGCATATTAACTAGTTAATTAGAGAGTGTACAGTTGGAACGAACTAGATGTTTGTAGGGATGCAAGGCTCACGAATCCATAAATAGGCATAATTTTATAGGTTACACGCATGACCATAAAAATTAAGCTTATTTATGGGTTCAGAGAAACCTTGCATCCCAAGATGTTTGGTAGACAATAATAAAAGAAACAAAAGAGATAAAAGAATAATAGAAAGAACTAATTAATATGGAGGGAAAAAGAAAATTAAAGTACAAATAGCACCATTAATTTTGTAGTCCATGACCTTTTTTCATTTGAATTCATTCTAAAACCATTGATTTATAGAGACGGATGTATAGGTCCGGGTGGCCCACCGCCCCTACGAACCCATCTGTAGCCGTCCCATAGAAATACTGTATGCGGTAGTAGTGTTGATAGAGGTGGACACGCGTTTTATAAAGGCTCGTGTTATCCACTTGAGATTGCGCTTTTCAAGGCTTACGCCAACCTATGGAATCCCGGCACCTAGTCGGGTACGTCCACTTGAAACCACCCTTCTGCCTCGCCTCCGGCGTCAGGCTCGTGTAGTTCTTCCAGTCCGCGGCGAAGTCCTTGAGATCGTGCACCTTGGTGTCCAGCCCAACGCAGCAGTTGGCGTGGACGGTGCAGACCTTCTCTGGGTCGTCGTGGTACTCGCAGAACCCGCCGTAGTACACCGTGTCCAGCGGCTCGATCTTGACATGCAGCTTGCCCACAAGCTCGTGCCTGATGTTGACGAACACCGCCTGGTCGTGCTGCCCCGGAACCTCTCCCTAGCCGCCCGCCAGTACTTCATCATCTCGATGGTCCGGTTCGTCGACTTCATGTAGTAGAGGCCGGTGTTGAGCGGGTTGTCCAGCGGCGCGCGCGACGGCTTGAAGTCGTCCGACGAGCAGCTCATGTCGGCGTACACGGGGAAGTGCCGGAACGGGTTGCGAAACCATACCATGTCGCAGTCCTGCAGACCAGTCAGTGTGGTAGCACTTTATCAGTCATAAATAAGATTGTTGGTTAAAGATAATTATCGAAGAAATTGCGAGTCTTGGTGAAGAATGATCTTGCCGTGAAGAGGAAGTTGTAGCCGAGCTCCAGCACGCGCTGCTGGAAGACGAGCTTGGTCCAGACGAGCTCCAGGTAGTCCGGGCTCATGAACCGCTTGGCGGAGCTCATGTCCACGGACGTGGCGTTGAGGTGGTAGCAGTGAGGGTGCACGGCCTTGCAGCGGTCGAACCCGCGGGCGTCGAGGGCGACCACGACGAGGTGGTTGAGGAGGTGCGCGGTGTCCTCGCCGTTCTTGAAGCTGTCGAGGTAGAGGTCCAGCAGGGAGCCCGGCTGCGCCCATGCGTCGTTCACAGACGTGATGATCACCGTCCTGTCGTCCATGGCAACCCTCGGTAGCAGCTCGGCTAGGCCCTTGAACATGACCTGTGCATGATCGTCAATTAAAGTCTCGGTTAGATTGGCTGGTACACGTACAACCATGCAGTTTGGGAGAAGAGTTTTGGCCGATGCATGCATATAAGAGCAAGTATAGTAAAAGGTTGTGAGTGGACTGTAGGCTGAGGTGGAGGAGAGAAAAGAAGAGAGAGGAAGCGGAGGTAAGGTGACCTGTCGTGTCTGTTGTGAGCACTGAAGCCTACAAACTACCTGGTCGTCTTCTCCGGCACCGGCAGGCGCTGAACCGCCGTGGCTTGTGAGGTTGCTACGCAGCCCATTCCCCAACCCCAAGCTCGACATGCTCGACAAGAGCGCTCCAGCCCTGTCGGAGTCCACGAAGAGCAGGAAGGCAGTGGGCAGGAGAGCCCCGAGCAAGAAACAACCCAGATGCCCGGGCCCGTTCCGCTTGCTCAGGGTGCCCATATGCGTTCTCAATCGGTGTTCAGACATCGCCACCGAGATCCAAATCCAGACGAAGATGGAGATGGACGTGGATGGCCGACGAGGATACGGAAGAGTCGGAGACGATGACTAGTAGATCGATATAGATGGGCGCAACTGCGTGCTAGCCTAGGACGTTGACAGTGCTACATTTATAGTAAGCACCTCTCGATCGCCTCGCAAAACGCATCGACGACGGTTTCATCAGCGCGGTGCTGCAGTGGCGCAGGATCATCCATGTGCATTCGACTATATAACGTGCATCGACGGGAAGCTCGCTCGCCTTTGAGTGCGTTTTTGTTTCCTTCAAGTGAACTGCATCCACGGTAAGCTTTGACTCTCTCTCTCTCTCTCTCTCTCTCTCTCTCTCGCGATGCATTAGCCTTTTGAGACTACGGGTGTTCTTTGTGGGGCGATAGTTTAGGCAAGTGTCACCTAACAGGCGAGCTACTGGAGGGACGAAAAACAGAAATTCGCAGCAAATTCGTGATAAAATCTTAGTATTGCTGTCAGGATGGAAACCCTGACATTCAGAAAACTGATCAGGAAATGGGATGGTCTAAAGTAGAAAATAAGAAGAAAAACAAGAAAAAAGGAAAATAATAGGTATGTTTTGGAACATTAGAGGCTTAGGGAAAATTGATAGATTACCTGCTTTAAGGAGTAGAATTAGATATAATCATCTTGATTTTGTTGGCATTATGGAAACCAAGAAGAACAATTTGTCTTCTGGGCTTTTAAAATCCCGAGTGAAATACATTGGCGCCCCTTTAACTTGTCGGCATGTGCCAATCTGGTCTACGAACTTACAAACGCGGAAAATAGACCCCTGAACTTGTCAAGTTGTTCACCGTAGGTCCATTTCCCATCCGGCGCGCCCTCCAGGCAACGTGGCAGTGCCAGCGTGGCGGACGAAGCACGTGAGCCGCACGTTTCAACGGGCCTGCCACGCTCGCTTGCCGGTCGCGCAACAACCCCGCCGCGCGCACGCCACGGTCGCGGTTACGCTCGCTTACCGGCACCGCGGCGCTGCTCAGCCGCACTGCCGTCTTTCGCCACGCCAGCTCCGCGTGCTTTCGCTGCCGCATGCGCTTCTGCCGGAGCCGCCGCCAGCCGCCGCCAGCCGCTGGCTGCCACGCCGCCGCCGGCACCGTGTGCGCTCCTCCGTGCACGGCGCTTCGCCATTGGCGCTGGCTCAGCTGCAAGCGTTCAGCGTGCTTGCGCGCAGGTGTGCTTGCGAGCCGCGCCGCTGGCCCACAGTGCCGCCACGCTTGCCTGAGGCTTAGCGGCGCTCAGCGCGGCGCGACGACGACGCACCGCGACTACAGCGTGGTAGGGGTTTGGCTAAGGACTCAAGTGGCACCAGGAGCTCACCATGGCGTCAGGGCGCTTCTTGGTTGAAGCGGGCGGAGCGCGACGCGTCTGCGCTGCGTCGGCGCCGAGAACGGCAGCAAGAACCGGCGGTGACGACGCATTCCGGCGTGTCCTATGGGGGAACAAGGAAACGGACAGGCCGATGAGCATAACCACCTAGCAAGGAAGCCAAAATAAAAACTAAGAGGGAAGGAGATGCAGTGAGACGAGCTGGCCACGGCGGAGCTGTCCACGGCGGCCATGGCGGCTCGGCCGCCACGGAAATGGCGCGCGCTGCCGAATTAGTCTGCGAGGAGCGACGCGAGCAGGTCAATGAGGTGCGCGAGGAGCAAGCGAAGTCATGGGCGTGAGCTATTGGGCGGGGTGCTATGGTGGTGTTGAATTTTGCCGGCGACCGGAGCTCGGTCGGCAGCGACGCGCCAGGAGAGAGAGAAAGAGGAGAGGTCGCGGCGTCACGTAAAAAGAAGGCAAGGACGATTTCTCCACCAGTGCCACTCGAGCTCGAGCTCGACATGCAAGCAGTGCGTGCGTGCCGCATGTTAAGGCAAAGAACGGAGGCGGCGGCCATCGGCAAGCTGCTCGGTGGTAATCAGAAAGCAGTGCATAACGCCTTTCTACTCTCTCTATCTCCCGATTTCTCTACTAAACACGGTGAGATCCCTTAAACAAAGTTGTTCATCAACCAGTGCTTGCTGCCGCGTGCTTGCTGCGGGCCATGTGGATCTCAAGCAAGCGCATGCGGCAGCACGCAAGCCTGCGGAGCGGGAGCCACCCACCGGCCGGCCGGCTGTCACGGAGGAGCGCACACGGTGCCGGGCGGCGAGCGTGGCAAAGACCGGTGGCGAAGCGTGGCGGCACCTCACGGGCCAGCGGCGGCTCCGCAAGCGCGCTGGCAGCAAGCACGCGAAGCCGCTGGAGCTGGCCCACCTAGCCGGCGAAGCGCCGTGTCACGCGAGGAGCGCGCTACACGCGCGGGCAGGCGAAGCGTGGCAAAGACCGGCGGCGAAGGCGGCGGCACTGCGCGGGCCAGCGCGATGGCTCCGGCAAGCGCACGCGGCAGCAAGCACGCTAGCGCGCGGAGCCAGCGTCCAGTGGGCAAGCATCGTGCTGCGGAGGAGCGCACACGGTGCCGGTGGGCGAGCGTGGCAGCCCCGGCAGGCGGCGCGGCGGCTCCGGCAAGCGGATGCGGCAGCGAGCACACGGAGCCAGCGGGCAAGCGCGGTGCCACGGCCGAGCGCACGCGGTGCCGGCAGGCGACCGGCGCGGCCGAGCGGGTGTTGCGCAACCGGCAAGCGAGCGTGGCAGACCCGTTGAAACGTGCGGCTCACGTGGTTCGTCCGCCATGCTGGCACTGCCACGTCGCCTGGAGGCCGTGCCGGATGGGAAATGAACCTGCGGTGAACAACTTGACAAGTTCAGGGGTCTATTTTCCGCGTTTGTAAGTTCGTGGACCGGATTGACACAGGCCGACAAGTTAAAGGACCGCCAGTGTATTTCACTCTAAAATCCCTAGCACATAATATCCCTTTTGATTGATTTCATTTAGAAGCACATGGCTCAGTAGGAGGAATCCTGGTGGGTGCAAATACAGATCTTTTTAACATGGCTATAGGAGAGATGTTGAACTACTCTGTTAGTGTAATGATGACATGTAAGAAAACTGGGTTCTCCTGGAAGTTAATAGTGGTGTATGGTCCTGCCTATGATGAACAGAGGCAAACCTTTTTAGATGAGTTAGATTTAGTGATGAATAGTTGGCAAGGTCCAATTCTTACTGGAGGATATTTTAACCTAGTCAGATTTCTGAGTGATAAAAATAATAGGATCATCAATCACAGATGGGCTGATAGTTTTATTGAGTGGGTAGATAAATGGGTTTTGATTGAATTGAGTGCTAGTAATAAGAAATATACCTAGACCAACAACCAGGATTTCCCGGTTTTGGCTAAAATAGATAGGATTTTTGTCACAACAGCCTGGGAAGCTGCTTTTTCCATTAGTTACGCTACTGGAATCTCGCTTTTTTCTGTGTGTGCGAAAACACACAGAAAAATACGAATACCGTCAGAAAAATATTTTTCTGACGGTGTACCCTCAGAAAAATACCCACGGAAATATAACGACAGAAAAATTCAATTGTTCTGTGTGTTCGCCGTCAGAAATAATTTTTCTGTGGGTGTTACACGCACAGAAAAATTGCGTTAGCCCAAATTAAATTTCAATGTTGTGTGCGTTAATCCTCACAGAAAAAAAGAATAGCCCGACAGGAAAATGATTTTTCTGTGGGTGTTACACGCACAGAAAAATTATCTTAGCCCAGATTAAATTTAAATGTGTGCATTAATCCCCACAGAAAAAAAAAAAAGCCCAACAGAAAAAAAATTTTTATTTTTTTCTCATCGACGTTATCCCGATAGAGTCATAGAGGCACACTCACAGGAAAATTTTTTATTTTTCTATCGGTCTCGATTAACGCACAAAATAAGGGTGGTCTAACAATGCATCCAAAGATTTAAATTTCATATATCAAACTACTTAATATCAAAACATATAATCGAACTGTGTTAAAGATTGATCGCGGTTTCTCAACAACAAATGTGTTTAAACACACCATTGAAGGTGATTCTGCTATAACACAAAGAGCTCAATACAGCCAGGAAAAGAAAGAAAGCCCATCAACAAGCACACTATTATATGAGTTCGTGTAAAAGTACAGCTCCAGTTCTTCTGTCCCGGTAGACAGTTCAATCTCCTACCATTACCCATGAATCTGAAAGTCACAAGGCTTCAAATTAGATAGAAGCTAGAAGCAAGCTCATCATTCCAAAACTAATAATTTATTTACTAAAACAAAGAATAAATTCTCAAAGATGAACAAGGAATGAAAGCATGAATTATCAGCAGGAAATTCAACAGCTGAAATTAGTAAGTGTTTTTGTTACAGCATCAAGTATGAAGTCATCACTACAAATGATGTGTGGGCAGGCTTCAGGTCCTAAAATTTATGGTCTCCAATGACAAACTAGTGACCAAAAATGGCTATAGATGTATAGGAACCACATCAATTCATCTTGGATACGCATACGCTACATGTTTCAACACAAGCAAAAGATGGCATCATCATGCAAGACTACGTATGATGCAAATCAAGGTAATATTGACACCATACCAAAAAAAAAAGAAAACAATGTGACGATAGTTAAACGGATGATAATACCTACGGTATGGGAAAACATAGAGGCAGCCATCATCTTCTCCTCCCGGCAGCAGCAGCAGGTGCCCGTTCTGCTCCAGGTTGGCCCTACCCTGCAGCTTCCTCTTGGCCACTGTCGTAACAGCATTCATGACAATAAGACCAAGCGGAATGATGTACATCCACTGCAAAACAAACAAGTCAGACTGAAGGAACATGTACACACACAAACACGAAGATATTGAACAAAGTACAGAAGATATTTAGTGCAGTTACTCACATATTTAGCCCAGAAAGATTTCTCAGGTGGTTTCATTACTTCGCCAAGACCATTGTCAGCTTCTATTAACTGATCCGCAAATGATGGGGTTTTGCAAGCACAAAAATTTGTACAAGTCAGAATTAAAACTAGACC